GAAAAAAAAAAAAAAAAAAAAAAAAAAAAAAAAAAAAAAAAAGGCCCCAGACATAGCTGAATAAGGAAAAGGGTCAGCAACTCTTAAAGTCCATGAACTAAAAGTTTTGCTCTGATTCAAGAGCCAACGTCAATATTACAGGGCTTTGAAAAAGTGAGCAAAATGGTCAGAACATATCTTAAAGAATGTTTACAACTATCCAAAAGTATGGAGGAGGAAGACACTGGAAACACTATTTTACCAGACTGCTTTCACAGTTTTCCCAGCAGTTCTTATCTGATAGGGAGTGCTTTCTTAAGTAATTTAAATGGTCTGATTTATTGAACCCAGGGTTACTGAGTTCACTTATTTCTGATTCTTCCTTGTCTACTGTGTTCCATTGATCTACTTTTCTATTATTTAACTAGCACCAAATGGTTTTGCAGACTACTGATTTATAATGTGGTGTGAGATCTAGATGTACTATTTCCCCTTTATTCTTACTTTTTTTCATTATTTCCCTTGATAGTCTCAATCTTTGTTCATTCAAATGAATGTACTTATTTTGTCTACCTCAAAAGAGCATCCCTTTGGAAGTTCGGTATAATAGCACTGAAACTATAAATTAATTGTACTAGTATTGTCACTTTCATTACATTGACACAGCCCAGTCACGGGTAATATTTATTTTTAAATATTAAATATTCCAGTAGCTATTTAAGTTGTTTATTATTTCTTTAAAGAGTATTTTGTAATTGAATTTATGCAGACAATAGAGGTAATTTGGTAAATTGATATGCATATATAGTTATTTTGAATAGTAACTTTCAGGGACTTTGTATTATTGCCTCCTGGATTGTTATTATTATGTAGAAAAGTTGTTGATTCTTGTGGGTTAATTTTGTAACCTACAACTTTGCTGACGCTATTGTTTCACTTAGTTTCTTTGATTCCTCATCGTTATTGAAGTCATGTCACTAGCAAATAATGATAGTTGTCTTTAAGTTTTTTATTTCTTTCTCTTATCTTATAACTATTGCTAGCATTTCTAGATCTATATCAAATAACAGCTGGGAAAGGAAGCACCTTTGCTTTACTTCTGTGTTTACTAGCAAAACTTCTAGTGCTTCCCCATTACATATAATGTTTGCTTTTATTTGAATTTTATCATACTAAAAAAGATCCCTCTACGCCTATAATGTTGTATTTTTCAAAAATAGCATAAATGAGTGTTATACTTTGTTAAAGGTTTTTTCTGCAGCTTGTGAGGTCATCATGATGTTTTTGTTTTTCATATGATTAATTACACATCGACTGTTTTCCTAATGCTGAATGATCCTTGCATTACCTGGAGCCTTGTTTGATCGTAAGAGAATAGCAGGAAATCTAAATGAAAGGGCAGTCCTGTGGAAGGTGACAAATACAACTTTGTAGGACTAGACATTAAGGCATACATAGCTGGACAAGCACACTGCAATCTGACAGAGAGTCAAACTTGTAAGAGGAGAAAGACTCAAAACTGTATATGCTTCAAGGCAAATCCAAGAGCAACATGGGAAAGGGAGAAAAGTCAGCAGGAGCTAATAAAGAAGCAGTATGAGAAGTGGGGAAAATGGGATATCCTCCAAAGCCAAAACTGAGAGGACAATATGGTATGAAAAGGCTACAAATTAGTTCAGGAAGATAAGGACGGAGAAAACGCTGTGGAATGACCTAAAAGAACAGCTCAGGTTCTGATCTGCTAATTACAGTTTTCACAGTCCAGGGATAAGCAAAATCATTTGGAAAATTTAGAAAATGTCTATAGCATTCCAAATTAGAGCCATTACATTTACTAGTTACACTTGTTATAGTGTATGGATGGAACTGGCCTTAGACACCAATCGGCTCTATCATCTGGGGCTTGCCATTTAACCCCTCAGGGCTCTAAATAACTCTCTAAGACTATGCATGTTGCAGAGAAAAGGTCAGCCTACATTGGCAGAAGAAGTTTGTCACCAGGAAGAGTTCCCTACATCAATGAAATCACAGGTCCATTTCCTATTTCCTCATACTGGGCAAAACCATGAAGATATGAAACCAACTGATCAAGACCAGCGGTATCCTTTTCACAGTAATTCTCATGCAAGCTGTATACTTCTTCCAAGGATGGTACAAATTTTCTTTAGGACATCTCAGGAAGTGTGTTCTCTGGTGGGATGTGGATGACTTGTACCTGTCTCATTACTTTATGATACCTCTTAATTTTTTTTAATCCTAAATTATTACTGGTTGTTATCAAAAATCAAACCCATCCTAAAAAAACAAAAAAAAAGCTTCCAGAGAGACTGTTCTGAAAACTACTGCCAGAAATAGTAGTCATAGACATGTTCTGAGCAATGGAAGCAGTTCTGCAACAAGTGAATAGACTCTGAAGCAGTTGCTTTGAAAGACAACACTCATTTGGATCACTAAGTTCTGTTATATTTGTAAAAGGGTTTTGTTACTTTGCCTTTAACTAGTTGGGTGAATTGGCAAGTTTCACCTGTTTCTTTGCAAAACCAGGAAGTATGACTAGTTCTATAGCGGCTTCCTACTATCTCAAAGATAAAATACAAAGTCCTCAGCTTAGCACTGAAAGACCTCCAGAACCTGGCTCCAACTGCCTTTCTGGATTTATTTCATCATCACTTTTCTTCATATACTCTATGCTCAGTGCTCCAGCCAGCCAAACCTGCCTACTACGTACTCCTGAACTAGACAATGTCTCCTGCTCGAGGATTCTGCTTGAGATGTTTCCCACTCTCAGGACCACCGTGCCCAGGACACTCACTTTTCCTATGGCTCTTTATTTCCTTTAAGGCTCATCTCATCAGTCAGCCAACTTGTACTGCTCCTTTCTTCCCTTTCTCTGCCAGGTGGTCAGTGCTTGCTTTCCTCTAAAACTACCTTGTAGAAAGGTAAGTACTCTATGTTATGTCTCTGTCCTTGTATCCCCTAGCACTGACAACAGTGCCATGCTCATTGAAGTAGGAACTTAACAATGTTTGCTGAATTGAATCCTCCATTCCTTCCTGCTCTAATATTTTAGGATTTTAATCACTCCTTATAAATGCAATGATTCTACGTTCACACCAAACATTCAAGTATTTGCCCTCAGTAGCTCAGGAGCCTACTACATATGCTGGACACAGGCCCAAATGACCCACCTTTAGCTAAGTTATTGCTGATAGAAGACAAGGAACTGAACTCATGCAATGGTAGATGAAAAGAGACAATAAAATTTAATGGCTTCAGAAGGATTTGCTTAAGTGTTCAAATAAGGTCAAATTCAAACACTCCCCCTCCCCCCGGAAGAATCCTCATCTTTACTCCAACAACTTAACACAGCAGCTACAATCAAATCAGCAAGTATTTATTAAGCACCTAGTATAATGCCAGTCATTATACCAGGTGCCAAAGATACAAAAATA